TGCTGAAACACGGCATCTGGCACCTCCAATGAGTCTCCGCAACTGGATTGAAGTAGACCATCCAAAACGCCTAAACAATTTTTCAGCGCGAGACCAGCAGTACCCATCATGGTCGACATCTTTTTTCTGTACTTCAGAGAATCATATTCTTTGTATATTCGTCGCGGCAGTTTGAGTTTATCAACTAAATCTATCAGTTCGCGAATCGCGGCGCGAAAGTCTTCATACTTTGCGCAACTGCCATTGCCTCCAAGACACTCATGACCCAAGCTAATGAGAGAGTCCCCCACACTATGCCGTGCAGGCTCCATGTCCTCTCTCACTAACGAAATTGCTCCCAAATCCAGTGCAATTAGTCGCATCACAACATACGTCAGATGCAGACGTTGTGCGCACGTCAGCATTGGCAGCAATGACCTGCACAGCTTTGAAGCTCTCACCATTCGTGAGAATAGGTTCAATAAACGCTCTTTTATGGGCTCAGGTATGTTACGGTCTTTCCATAAGTTCAAGTCATACTGCTGGCACTCTTCTGCCCAACATCCCCAATTGGGTCGGGAAGTCTTCTCTCGAATTGAAGCCGCATCGCCTACTGCTTGAAGGCTTGTTGTGTCGGAATCGGGCACTCCATGAATCTGATATTGCGGCGAAAGCGTGCCTTCATTCGTCAGCTCCTGCGCTCGCTGTTCTTGGGTTCCTCTTCTTGGGTTCCTCGTATCGTCCGGCCTTACAGTTGCAATATCTCACTGGCTGCCGTCACCGAAATGTCGGACCTAACGGCTGCTGCGTGCATCTTTTCGGTTGTACAGGCTAGACCTACGCGTCCCTTTTCTCTTGAGCGCCCTATAAACCACTGCCTGCAGTATCAGGCCTGTCAAAAGAGGACGTTGATGGCTTTGATAAGGGCAACCACGGAGGAACTCCCCCTTGCCCAAAGAGGCTGTACTCGCTTGTGTGAGGGCCTGCAGCTGGCGACTGAAGCCTGGCGACTGAAGCCTGGCAGATGACTCAACTCGAGTCCGTTGTAGCAGCTGCATAGTGCGCCCCAAAAAACGTTCACTATCGCGTCCAGCGGGCGCGGGCTGCTTGATCGGGCCCACAGCAAACCCCGCTTCAGCAGACTGAGGAGCTAAAGGGAGGAAGGAACTGCCTGTGGAAGATGACTCCCAAGCAATTTGGCGCTCTGGACTTTGCGACGGTTGGTGTACTGCGTCAAGCCAAGACGTCCCAGAGCTTGGTGAGTGCCCAAGAGTCCTTGACAAGACCCAATCTGGTTGATGGTCTAGAGGGCGGCTTTCAAGTTTCGGTAGAGGCTGCGCATCTGGTTCGGCGCCTTGGTGAGACGGCTGGCCAGGTGACCACTGTGGAACTGCAGGAGGAGGGAATGCCGTGCCTCCGTGCATGTATTCGCTGGATGAAAAGGCTGCTGAGTTGAAAGCTCGTCCGGGCTCTTCGGCAAATCCTTTGTGCAGCATTTGTTGACCCAACATTGCATGCGGTTCTTCAGGATTAATCTTTTTCGGTTCACTGTCTCCCGCGAACACGATGCTAGCACTGGGATGCCCTAGAGAACCTGGATTCTGAAGTGGCAGAAGGCCGCCTGCTCTACGTACTGCTCCTTTTATTTGTTTCTGTAAATCAACTAGCTTGGGAATAGCAACTTCCAACATGCCTCTGTTATGGCTACCGATAAGTGTATGCATTCCAGTTTGTTCCTGGCATTTTAGAATGTGCCCGCACAGTGGCCCATCCCTGGCGATGTGCTCGGCATGTACACGGTAAAGTGCCTTTAGAACATTGAATTGCTGCTTAACAACAGCTTCTGGCAGCAGCAATGAAGCTTCGGCATAATATGAGCGTAGCAGCCCTTCCAGTACGCCTAAACAGTTCTTCAGTATCAAGCCAGCAGTACCCATTATGCTCAGCATCTTCTTTCTGTACTTTCTAGGGTTATACTCGTTGACAACACGCCGTCGCTCTTTGAGCTTATGAACTAAACCCATCAGTCCGCGAAGTGACGCGCGCTGTCCTTCATGCTCTGCTTCGCTGCCGCTGCTTCCAAGACATTCAAGACCCAAACTGATGAGAGAGTCCCCCACGCTTTGCCGTGCAGGCTCCATGTCCTCTCTCACTAACGAAATGGCTCCCAAATCCAGTGCTATCAGTCGCATGACAAGGTAAGTCACTTGCAGGCGTTGTGTGCACGTTAGCATTGGTAGTAATGACCTGCACAGATTTGAAGCTCTCGCCATTCTCGAAAGCATGGTCAGTAGACGTTGTTTTACCGGTCCCGGTAGGTTACGGCCTTCCCACTGATCGTCTTTGTACACCTCACGCTCTTGAGACCACAGGCTCATGCTGGTCCCATATGCCTTCTCTGCGATTTCTTCCTCGGCATCTGTTTCTTCTTCGTGTCCCGTTGTGGCAAGCGAGCGAAACCCCTGGAAGTGTTGAGACGGGAGAGCAACCCCTTCCTCTAAAGGCTCCTGCGCACTCTGTCCCGAGGTTTCCTCGGGTGTTGTGTCGTCGTCCGTGTCATTGTCCTCTGCGTCAGTCTCCCTTAGGCCACCATCCAAATCACATGATACCTCACGGTGGTCCGCAAGAAACCGAGTAGACGACACTGACCGCCGCCCAGCCCTTATCAAGTGAAAACAAATAACCAAGAAGTACGCTGCTGCTACAGAGGCAAATACTATACTGAGAACACGGGACCAAGCAGATGAACGCAGCCTCCCCTGGGAGACGCAATGGACACGAATCAGCCCATCGGTAGTGCCATGGAGGGTTTGCTGTGAAAAGGTAACCGCTTTCGTCTTCTGATTCGTGATGCCAAAAGACGACAGATCGTCCCTAGAGCGGGCAGTTGGCTGCCAGTTCATCAGTCCTGAAAGTAACTCTGGTGCGCTTGGATTCTGAACACCAACTCCTGCGATCTCTTGTGTGTGTATTCTCCATATGCCGCGTACGCTGTAAAGGATAGCAGTGTTTGTGTTTAGTGAGAAAAACTGGGAGACGCTACGTGGTCTTTTACCGAAAAAACTTGGCACACCGAAGGCGCGAAGCGCTCACTTCCGTCTCATGGAGCTTGCGGAGACACTGAAAATCATGTCATGTTGAAAATGCAGTGCCCCTAGAATCTGACTTGTGGAGAAACTGAAAACCCCGTCACGTTGAAACGCATTACTCCGGGAATGTGTACTATTGTTCTGCTCAATGTCCACTACAATCAGCAATACTCTCGATGCGTCTCCGCCGCAGATAAGCACGATGGCGATGTTGCATGAAATCCGCTTCGATGTTTTTCATGAAAAGAAAATTAAAGTAAGGCTCTGCCTCCCATTTAGTAGCAGAAATTTTTTCCCTGCGTGGAGAAATAGAATAAGTCAGAGGAGGATCGCTGCTCGCTGAGGCCCTCAGGCATCTGCATTGCTGTATCGTGGTGACCGCGTAGGTTCGCTACGCTTGACCAAAAAGTTAACATGGTTATAACAAAATGCGCCAAGTTAAAATTTGAAGACCAAACACGTCCTAAAAAATGATCCTTGCTTCAGAGAAGACACAAAAAATGTTCTCTAGGGACATCATGGCAACTTCATCTTTGGGTGTATGTTTCCACAGGCATAAAGGGTATCTAGTGAGATTAAAAGCTAAAGCTAGCTTCAACATATAATTGACATGTTTTATTGCTTCCTTTTGAACGTTTTTCATTACGCACTTCGGCATTTTTGTCGGATGACTACTGCTTCACAGCGACGCGGTTCCTGAGACACCGATATTAGCAGCGCACGCTGATCCAATTAACTGATCTCGAGCATTTGTATGCCTGCTTCGCTTAGTGATATATTTTGTGCTTCAGTGATGTAAGAAGACGGACAACAGTAATTCTCGAAGAAGCCTTCTTGGTGCTCCGAACTTCACGGCAAGACACAAAGTTTCGCGTTAAGCACCTGGTCTTCATTTGCAGTGTGTGCGATTTGTACCTCGTAAAGGTGCGCCGCTTTCACCACATGGGCACTCATACTATCAGCTTCCTACGGGGCTAAAACCCTCATTTTTCGACTCCCGTCATGCAAGCGGCGCCTATCCCTCGTGCCCACAAACGAAAACTTCTGCGGGGCAGTACTCCCCTTCACAAACAGCGCATCGCAAGGCGTAAATAGCTCTAGGGTAGCATTGCAGACAGAGATACAGCACGTCGATGGATGGAGGCTGACACGGCACTCAACGAGTCAGCGTGGAGGGCAACAAACTCTAT